AAGTGTTACATTAATGAAGTTTGTAAATTATTAAACGAAGTAAAAAAACACTGAGTTCTGTAAGATTTTTTAATAGAACTAACATTTTTATTATAGTACTACATAAAAACATAGAAATGGCGAGTTTTGAGAATCCTGAAGGCAGTTACGCTTTAAGTACACCATATTTCTCACAGTATCACCTTTACAGCTTTATAAAGTACGCAGGCTGTTACCGTAAAATCTCAGAATATTTTCTTAAGAACTTCTTTCTCGTCGATGTTATTGTTTCTGACAAAAATTTAATTACCTCAAGGGTGGTGCTCTTGAGGCCTATTGTGGTTCGAATAAAACGTCGCACGCAATGCTGCCGCTGCCGACCGTCACTAGGCAGCTCACCGTGATAGATGATATTCGAGAACAATTAATCTTGGCCAAAATATGCGGACGATTTGCAAGCGAGTGGTCGGGCCTAATGGTCGGGAGGATTATCGCGAGACCGCACCCCGCGCCCCGCGCTGTACTCCGCACCACAGGCCCCGCGCTCTCATTAGCGCCGAATATCTTTCTTTGCGATTCATATAAGTTTTCTAATGGCCAGCATGTTTACCTTTACTCCAAATTGTAATTTATTTTTCTCACAACTTAACGTTTGCATTTAAACTTTTTTGATTTTTAAGCACTCATATTGGCACGTTAATATATTCTATTACCGTAAATGAAACTAATATCAGCCAAGTTACGTTTGTCGGCCTTCGAATAGGATAACCTTCAGTTTGCTATCCATTATTCTATTTGTCCTCGGTTATTTATGCAAAAGCCAAGGTTCGTACATTCTACTACTTTTAATTCCTAAATCAATAATTATAAACATTGGTAATAAATTTTTTCTGCTTTAAATATATGCTTATGATAAAGCAGCTATCGAAACCACTACTAGCGTGGTTTGCCAATTTTTTATCACTTACATTTGATAAAGCATCGGTACATGCATATTCTGAGATGTCCCGGGAAGCAATAACGTGGCGGCGCTCGCTCGTATATCATAACCAAGGCTTCATATGAGAGGCGACGCCTCGGACACGAAGGCGTTATGCAACGCTGTCTTAGGATAATGTCTCGCATAAATTCAACATAATCCTACAAAACCCACCTAACTTAACATATTAGATTTCTGCTTTAAATTAACAAAATGATTAAAAAGAGCCTCATTTTACACACTTTGGATTCATGTTTTGTTTTCGTGGCCGTATAATTAGATTCATTAATTTCAGATTAGCAGAAACATATCGATGTAAGGAACAAAATATGTACAAAATTAAATCCACGTTGACTGCTGCATTCAATATTTTATTGGTATACAATAATCCTACGTTAAGTGGCTGCTTAATTAATAATTAATAGGTTGAGTGTGGCCGTGTCTTGCAGTTTCTGTAACTAAAATCTTAATATGACGTATACCTAAACTTGCCGGTCTCGTGGTGCTTCAGGGCGTCGTGGTTGCGCTGCGGCGTTGCACACAGGGTCAGTTTAATGACGCAAATGTTCCGTTAATTGGAGATATCTGTTTGCTGCAACTTCAATTGAATCGGAAATGCGTTATTGCTCCCTCTATTCGAGCTTCCAAAGGCTGGTCTATACATCAATAGATGTGTTCGTTTCGTTCGATACCGGTATTTGGTTACCGACGTGTTTTGTTTATTATATTTTAGTTAATATCAGCATGTTAATTTATAGCGTTACTTAACATCACAATATTGATTCGTAGATATTAGTATTGAACAGGTCTTTTAAGAGTATGTTATTATACAAAAGTTAAACTTAAAATTTTTAAATTATTACATCACGTTTTAAGTCAGACGATGATTCTGATAACCAAAGTTTTCTTATCCTATTAAAGAACGTATTTGAGAATACATTGTGGGTCTATTCAGTAGTCCTAATACAATCACTATGATAAAAATGACCACTAGATGAATCTTACTTCTTACTAATATTATAAATGCGATAGTTTAGATGGATGTTTGTTAGAGTTTGTGGTCTAATCTGCTAAACGGATCTCGATGAAATTTAGCATAGATGTAGAAGATAGTCTGGAAGGACATATAGGCTACTTGTGTTATTTTTTTAATTCCACGCAGACGGAATTGCAGGCGAAAGCTAGTTATTGCATAAATCGATTATGGCACGGAAACATTACATTTGTAACTAATTTGTCCAAATGATACTGTTTAGGTGTAATAAAAAAAATTAACAATTATTTTTGTTTTATTCCTGTTGTTTACTATTTTTATTTTCATTAGCTAATTGTAACAGAAAAAAGAAACACTTGAATACATCTCTGTATAGATAGTTGTTTGTTATGCGGCATAGAAGGCAAAGCGCGCCGCGCAGGATGAGCCGGCTCGTAGATGCAAATTAGCAGAATCACAATTAGTGCTTGATTGTTGTTCATCTTGCAGCTTGCATTTAGCAAGTGAAACAACTAGTCAAGATATTCACCAAATAAAATACGAGAGAATACGCTACATTTTATTTCGTAGCCGCATTCTACCTTTTCAATTCTAGGAAATATAACAAGCCTATTCATAGTGTTGTAATGATTTGCTCTACTTTTTAAAGGCCAGTGAAGTCGAGTTACAATCCGACTGGCAAACTTTAAACCATAGGTATCTCGTTATATACCATTTCTTTATTAATTTTAAGAACTCCCATTAAATGCTAAATTATGCACCCACGCATTTATGGGGACATTGAAAAATCTCTTTTTAAATTGATTTTTAACCGTATGAACTCTATAAACTTGTATTATGTGTACTAAATGGATGTATAATATTGTTTGTACAACAAACAGAACGTCCTCGGAAAGTCCTCCTGGTTGACAGATGATGTTTAGTGGCAATTAATCTTGCCTGACCAAATATGCGGGCGAATTGCGGTCTCACTGACGTCGTAACTACGATGTTCCGCCTCCGCGCGCCACAGAACCATCCCTTATTTCTCACGAAACTTAAATACGGTGTTTGCTTGCGTGACTTAACGCAAACCAATCGCTCGATCCGCATATTTGTCTTCTTAATAACATACGTTTAAACCGTTGAAACGTCTATTACCCGTGAAGTATCTCATATGTAACGTAAAATAAACATTTCCACTCGAACGTGACTTCGATACAAATGTGGGGGTAAACGTAAAACATTGTTCGATGTCGGAAAACGATCTGCTTCCCCTGCGGCGTTAAATAGCAATCGACATATGGATCTGCACACTCGAAGACCGTTTGTTTTCGCTTCTATAACTATGTGTAGCGCAGACTCGATCGTTACATTGTGAGGTCGGTGTTTACTCCGTTATTATGCGGGATTTCCTAACAGGCTTGCGGAAGCGAGGTGTGGCGGACGAAGTTATAATAAGTTGGACGTAAGTTGACGTAAGATGGGACGCTTCCTTATCGAGAGCATTGTCTCCTGATCCCGAATAACAACGAGGTGTTGTGAAAACTTTATAAAACATCTAACAATGTAATTTACGTTGCGTGGTGCAACTTTTGAATGATTATTTTTTAACCGACTTTTCAACTTATGTTCGTATCTAAAAGTCATCACGTAGCACTAACTACATATATGTTACTTATAACATTCTACCAGGTTTAGAGTAAATCCAACAGACGCACCCAACCACCCTCTAAAAACGTTTATCCGTCTAATTAACAACTTTAATTACTTCTCTCACTGCATCGCAATATCTCTTCGAGAGTATTTAATCTTAATTACCGTCCTCTCATCTCCTACTTAGATCACATCATTCTTTTTTATTACAGACGCTTCCATTACTGACAGTAAAAAGTCGCGGCAGCCGCTTGTAGACGAATTAACCTTTAGAGTGGGCTTGTAGATCCGTGCCCCGGTTACGGACGGGTCATTCGGTAGTTAATATTCAAAGGGTCGTACGATCACGGATTCCGGGCGCGTTTCACTTCCACGGCCGTCCCGAAACGAGCTCTCGAAAGCTTCCTTTCGGTTTCCGTGTGCAGTTTTGCGTGTTCGTAGGAATTAGAATCGACGCGCTGGTTTAAAGGCACGTATCTGAAACAAATGTCTCAGCTAAATTGTATTTCTGTATAGGTATTTCAGATTTTAATAGGGTGTACGTTCGAATAGAATCTTGCATTAGTTAGACTGCGAGTTTCACTTAAACTATACCGCGCGGTGAATTTCGTAGCACTTTGAAAGCTTTCCGCTTCTAGAGTAGCATAAAAGTCATTGTTGCAACTATTATATTTACCTTCATATTCTCGCCACAGTTTCGCTGATGTACATTATACTTATTTTTAATTAACACGAATAATAACCATTGAAATTTTACATTTACTTTTAAATTAAAATGTAAAATGTATGCTACATTCGCAACATTTGATTGTTCGCTAAATCAGTGTTCACATTCATTACTCAACTTTTAATCAAATTTAATCCAAGATTTAGAGGTTCGTCTCTTCAATTTCACAGTTGAATAAATTTATTTTAGTACTGTAAAGTATTTCGCAGCGAATCCTTATTCTCTTGGCGATAAGGTTAAATTTATAGATGGTGTCGTCGGTGTGTTCACGATTCAACGATTCCAGAGATTATTTGGGACAAATTGATATTTTTCTATCTTTCCCTCAGTATATTTTGTTGTCACGTTCCGATATACTTTTCCGTATGCCTCAAATTACGTTGTCATATTCTCGGATTTTTTATACATTTCCATTACACGACGAAATTGTATTATTCAAGTTTCTTCCAAAAACAAATATGGAATGTCTTGAGATGATAAACATAATAAACATCGAGTTCACTGATACGCAGTTTTTGCATTAAACAACACAGCTTGGTTCAAACAAAACTTAAGTTTGTAATACGAGCTGTTCTGCTCGAATCTTAACAATAATGTGTTTGTATGCAATAAAACAAAGTCTGCTAAAATTAGAATGTGAATTAAAACTACATAACACAAACTTTAACTTTATTTTTGTTGTACAGGTAGTACCGATGGTCGCATCGTCCAGCCGCGCTGAGCCGCGCCGCGCTCGGACCCGAGCGCCCAGGCCGTAAGGTGTGCACCGCGAGCGCAGCAGCCGCCGTGATGAGCACAACCCGCCACCATGCGTCGGCGGCCATTCTGAACCGGGAACGGACGCGTCGGGCGCGAGATGGCCCTCAGCGGCGGCTTACCCAGACCGCCGGCGCACGCGCACCCGCCCGCGCCCACTCACTATGAGATGTGGAAGCACAGCAAGTGGCGACAGAAAGCACCGCCGCCCAGGACCGACCCCGCTATCCGAGTACCCAGATAGAGACTGCAGTGTTATACAGGCCTAAGTGTTTCCGTGTAGTGTAAATATAGTGTGTTCGTTAAGCATGTCGGGTGAAGGGCGCGGCGCGCGCACTCCGCTGCTGGAGTGCGGCTATGCGCAAGCGCAGATGCACGCGCACAAGGCGCCGGCGCCACGCTGCTGCTTCTGGCTGGCCAGCCACGTCAACGTGAGGAAGTGCGTCGCCGGCGTCATGCTGCTCTCCGTCCTCACCATATTCTTCTATACGTACTACGTCACCGTGCCACTAACGAGGTGAGTTTATCTAACCCGCCTTAATTATAAATTTAATATAACAGTACCTGTAATAGCTGTTGTTGTTCCTTGTAAAATAAATAAATAAGATAATATTTGCATACACTAGGTACGCCGTACCATCATCAATTTAACGGCTTTTTAAATTACTTTACAAAATTACCAACAAAATTTTTCATACAGTATCAAGGGACACTTAATCAAATAACTGAAAATTTTAATAAATTTAAAATTAAAGTGTCGTAAACATACTCGAACATAATTAATAACTCCTGTTGAAATATGCGTCATTCGCACAAAATCCAATTTACTTGCTAACTATCGGCAGCAAACACGTCGGTGCCGGGGAAAATTAATAATATGAAATTATCGCGCTTTCGGTCACTATTGTATAGCTACTGCAGCTAGATTAGTGGCCACCGTGTTGACTGCATTACGCTCTGAAACAACACGCTGTGTAACTTTAAACAGCGCTTTAATGCATCCTAAATTTTTGTTTCAAACGACATAATTAATGCGCGGAAGCCTTGCATAATGAAGTGGTCGCGGCACTAAATCGTTTGCCGCTAATGCCGTTATAAATACTGATTTACCGCACTGATATTAATGTCTTAATAGAGCGCGGTAATGTTTCAAATTCCTAAACGCTCACTGCTTAGAATTATTTGGGTTAGTGTTTGCAAACTCGGTAATTTGTTATATCATAACTGTTTGTTTAATTTATGTAATAAGATAAAAATACAAGGTAATTAACATAAAAAGCTCCCACAATAATACATGTAATATTTACCACAATCACACAGAGTCGTCTAAAAGCTTTGAATTTATAATTATGCTAATGTGTAATTTCATGTTTAAATTACTGTTTGAGCAGGAATCACTGAACCCCGATGTGTTCAAGTTTTATATAAATTGAGTTTAAATTTAAGAAGATTTTAAATCATGTAAAAATGTTTATATCGTTGTGAAATAAACTAATTGGCATTCTGCAACAGATTGCGCGCAGGTTAGTTAGCAAAACAAATCTCGTTCATCAAATATGCAAATTGTTTAATCACAATTGTACGTACAAATACTCGTGCGATGGGAACGTGGATCATTTTTGCGTTACCTGAATTTTATATTTATTCCAAGATAGAAGAACAAACAAGTTATAACAAGATAGTTTAGAAATAAATTACATATAGTACAAAAGGCATGTCGGGTTTTAGATATGGAAAAACGGTGTGTATGTTACACTTATCTTCCTTTGTATTACTGAAAAGGAATGCACGAGAAACTCCAATTTTCCGGATCCTTTCCCCCGCGCTTCGGGAGGTACGTATAAACCATGAAAAGAGCTACATAAGTAACGCTCAGTGAAGCCACTCACACTTTTCTTCCCCACCGAATATCGAAGGAGATTTATTGTGCATAAAATTACCACTTAATTTGCCAAAGTGGCTCGCGGAAGAATTAAAAATGTCGAAGTCCGCTAGGAGCACGCTTGTCGCCCTTTGTTTGGCTTTTCACGGCTAAATTAGAACGAGTAGGCGAATATTTCAGAGCAATTTATAACGTGATTTTACGTAATTAGGGCGGACGTCGTGTAGCAACGACGATAATATTTTATTTTATCGGCTTAAATTTACACCGCGCCGATGAGCGGGGCGGGAGCGCCGTCGACTTGTGCCGATTTATAGCGAAACTTGTGTTCCGACTAATTAATGGAAGCTGCTCCGCTAACGCATTCCTTGATTTAAACGACTATTGTTTTATAATCGCTTATACTGAAATTCATGGCCCATTGCCCGTTAAAAACAAGTTTACGATGCTATTTATCAAAACCCCTCCTACCTCTATTTCAAAGAGAGTCTCATTAAATTATTACCGTCATAATCTCTTTAATTTAGATACCTGATACTTTGAAGGTAAAATGGGAAATTTTCTTCGTATATGATATAGGATTCAACATTTAATATTTACTTATTTCATGAAATATTAAATAATTTATGATTTCTGAAGATAAACATTGATGTTTGATGTGATGTTATAATACCGCTACGAATAAAGGCTAATTAATGTTAAGGAAACTGGTTCATTGACTCGTTTTCGTCCAACAGATAGGTAATAAGAAGTCTTTCGGGCGAGTTATTCTTTTCAGTCGGTCGTTAAAGTTTGCCGGTGGATCGGGCGGAGGCTTTCATTAAACCAAAAAGGCCGCAACTCTCGGCCGCGCTCCGCTCGCCTACCTACGGATAAATATTTCCACAAATTCCGCCTTTATTTATTTTGACGCTATTGAGATAAACCTTAATGGCGCTTTGATGTGGCCCCCCTCCACTTCTAACTTACAGCGTAATTTTAACTTTGGCAGGTTTTGATTGATTCCGTTTTAAATTTGGCGGAACACCGCTTTCCGGTAAATAATTTGTTACGACTTTTTTTTTTAATCAGGCTCCACCTGGGCTCGACTTTTTGAGAATAAGTTAATATCGATGGAAAATTTTTTCTTTATAATTAGTTATTTCTACAAAATGCTTTGGTTTAAAAATGACGTCACTGTCAGATAAAAAGACAAAATCCGATATTTCCATCACATGTTTTAGACGTTGGATTGTTATTTACACCAAATTGTAATTTTGACAATTTACAATTTGGTGGGACAGGCCCTAATAATTGTGAATGGATTATATCTAAACTTGTGTTATATTGATAACATAGCATATTATATTACATTTTACTTTAAATAAGTTAATATGTTAGTTTAATTAAGATACAATCAATTACACTTACTGGAATAAAAACAGCTTTTTCTCTACATGTTTCCCTTAGTGAAGGGGCGCAGAGAAATGTCCGAGGACAACCGTTATGTTTTATAGCACAGCGTCGTGGAAATTTCGGTGCTATGTCGTTGGGTTTTACTGCTATTATAAGGGAGGGAAGAATTTTTGTGATCGCCGTCGTATTACTTTGTAGCCAGTAGGCACCTGTACAATTACTTACGCTATACTTTAATGTAATGTTGTATTTTATCTTTAACAAAGATAAAAATCAGGTCATTGAATACAAATCGCACTAATGACCCATAATTTCTGATAAGTAGGCCAAGCCCCTTGCGCATGCCACCTCAAAACTCATTAGGGAAAACCACTAATTGTGTTTGTTCTCTTACAATACACAGGCCTAGGTTTCTTTATACACTTTCTTTGGACAATAATTACAATATGTATCCATTATTATATTTTGTTATCTAATATTTAAAACTAAATAAACAATACAATGTCTATAAATAGTCATTCGTCGAGTCCTCGCACACTACTTAAAGTTCTGAAGACTTAGAGTCGATTTGAAACAAACGTGAAATGAATGGGGCTTCACTTTAAAGCCATCATAATGCAAGAAAAATAAGGTAACGTTTGTTTACTCGCTGTTCCAACTCGCTTAATAGGTTTTAAGTTTACTGAGCCCTGAGAGTAAAGTGTCCCAGAAACTTAAAAGTCGTTCTACGTAACAATTGTGAGTCGGATTTGTAATTAATTGTGATAAATGAAATTATGACGAAACAATTAAGAAACTCGTTTCCGATTTAACATCAACGTCGTCGTCTAAAATAACTTGTACTTTGCATGACGTTTATGAAGTTAACTATGGGCGGGCGGGTTTATGTAAGCCTCTTGCCTAAAGTAAACGACTTTGTAAAGTCTCTGCACGTTATTTTAGAATACTATATAACATTATTAGGTATTTTTAATGTAAGCAGTCTATAATTTAGCGATTACACAAGTATAAACTTTAGAATAAAGATGGATAACCATGATCTTTTAATTTCTGACTTAAAAAGGAATCCGATAATCATAATACGATGACTCACACTCGTACATTCAGCATCGCGACGGTGTCTATTTGGTCTGATGTCCTAATAAATAAAGCAATTTTGTAGAGTAAGCGATCTCATTGTAATTACTAATTTACTATTTTTTTTCTGTCAGCCTGGTATGGCGCGATCGTGTGCCTCGGCCGCTGTCTCAGTGCTCGTTGCTGGCGTCGCAACAGCGAGCACGCGACCACAGCTCAGACGCGCGCCTTCGCAGCGACGCCAAGGTGCTTGTCATTGTCGAGTCGGCCTACTCCCGCCTCGGCAGGGACATCGCTGAATTACTCGTCGCCAATAGGATTCGGTAAGTCTATCACGAATATGATTACTTTTTTACTACATTAACCAAGAATACGAAAATCCTGGCCTAGAGGTCCTTAAATGGGCTTCATTATTATCTATAAGAAATTTCTTCCTACTTGTTTATGTAAAGCATGAAAATGTAAATATTTTCACCCAAGTCATGTTCAATATCAGTCAAAAGTCAGTGCAGCATTTAAACAACAGAGCCCAGAGCAGTGCATCGTAAGTAACCATTAGCGAAGTTATGCAAAGGAAGAGAACAATGCGATTCGAAGTGAATAATAGCACTGGCAATTCAGAAAAGCTTCACTTTAAATTTTATCTTAATATTGCGTTGCCGGCTTTGTTGATGAGAACTACCGGACGATAGTCGCAGAAGGGTTGTAGTGCATCTTGCCTAAGCGTGTACGTTTAGGCATTACGGTATTCTATAGATATAAGCTTGCAATTCTAGCGTGCAGCTGCCTACATTAGCTCCTGGCTTTATCCATCTAAGAAGATTGCTCTACCTCCATCTCCTGAAAAAAATGTTAGATGCTTGTAATTCTCATTTACATGTTTGTACTTATCCATAGATTAGTTTCATTTTATTTGAATACACAATGTTGTACAAGTTTTTGAAGTAATATTTTATAGCGTCCATTTTTCTATTGATAATTTCTTTTTTTTAGCTTCATGTTCGTCTTTTTTTGGTGTAATTCATCATTGATTCACTTTCCTTTAAAAAAATAAACTCTGGTTTAATTGGATATTAAGTTTTATAAACCCAAATATCTAGAAAATAATACTACGAATTACTGAACTTCAATAAGCCCCTAGAGAAAGTTCGGAAGTTTTAATATAGCTGACATTTTAATGGCGAATTTTCTCAGTCAATACTCGATATCTGTCAGCCCTCCGACACTCTCAGCGAGGTCGGCGCTTGTTTATGAAATGTTTTGACGACTTACGAATTAGTTTCTGGGAAATATTTTTTGCGGTGTCTCGAGTTGCTTCAGTTATTGAAGTGATGTTTTTACATATCGTCAATGTCATAAAATATTGCGAAAAATATAATGTAACATTGAAATAATGGATTTCTATTCATAGCAAAACTGTAACTCAATATCTCAGCGTAATAATTTCTTGGGGCTTAAGTGCGAATATTAGGTACGTCAGCTATTATTGTATAATTACAAAATCACAGGAACATTAAATTAACCGAATTAATACCAAAACTAAATATTAAGTTGAGTTATAACAGCAATGACATAGTGAAAGTACGTGAAATTCTATACGTTGGGGCAATTTGCATGTGACCTCTAAAGGCTTAATAAACTAGGAAGTAAACACGACGACTGAATGTAATTTACGTATTATCGTAGAGGGTCAGGCGGTCCCCGAGCGACGCCGCTCGATTGTGTTCACGACCACGTTTCAGGGACCCCTTTCGATCCTACGCAAAATGTAACTCATGCTTTGAGCAAAATGACTTTTTTCTTTTCAAACTGTGCTATACAAGATCTTTATATTACAGAACTCAAAAGCTTAATTTCTTTTATAACTACCTCTTTGATTTATTTTGAATGGTGTGTAATTACAATGTAGAAACAGTTTTTGCAAAATTTTTTATTAGGTGTCACGACTATTTGCGTAGGAGCCATCGCTTTATAGTTGGTGTGCGGTGCTCGTTTACAGTCTAAAAACGTGAGTCGCGGCGTAAATTCATCCAGCTTTTACACTTAGCGACAAAAGTTGCTTTTATTGAATATTCATTGGCCGAATGGAAACTTTACAACGTAGCTGCTAATGTATTCCGCCTACGAAATTTTATGCTGAATTCTGTCCATCGATATTTTAATTAAACAATCTATTGCTTTTGCTTTCTTAGATTTAATTAAAAAATTCGATACTCCCTTGTAATAATTAAAAGAAATATTTAAGGTTTCAGTTATTAAATTTATGAAAAAATATATTTTAGAGTAAATTATAGTATGAAAAAGCCGGGTAAAATGTTGATTTTATTGTGTCTTTGTAAGACCAGTTAGCAGATTAAATAAGTTTTGAGAACGTTGTGATCTAATCTTATTAAATTAAGTCTGATTTTCAATTTAAGTCCACTTTGTCCGATTGTTGATGCGAACTAGTTCGATGATCCTTTTAGTTATAAAAGAGCTCTTAGCTAAGCTCTACCTAGCGTCTGTAACTACAAAATTTTAGTGCTCGTATTTCTTTGAAGTGCAAACCTTTCAAAGCGGTCGTAGTGGATACGTGACCCATAAGCATCAGCTGTCTGGTCTGTATTTAATGCTAGCTATAATCCTTTCGACTGTAAATGTATTTTTTATTAATCTTGTGCTTGTATAATGTAAACTAGTACGATTTGTAAGTAGAGAAAGGTCATACTTTCTCTAGCAATGATCTCTCAATCAATTTGTTATTTTATTTCATAATAATTTATCATTCGTCTGTCACAAATGTTTAGATTTCAAACAAAACGGTGGTAAATAATAGAAAAAAAAACGTAGTATAAGATGTTGGGAATCCACAAAACTTTTAATTCAATTAAAGTTGTGAAAGCTTCCAACTAGCAACGTTTCTCATTTGTCTGAATCCGAATAAGTTTATGACGAAATCGAGCTTTAGTGAAAACGATCCACGCCTTTCTTACTCGGCATTGGTATTTGTTTTATAATCCTGCGGTATATAAGTCAACTAGCTATTGCTCGCGACTTCACACGTAAAAAATGTAGCCTTTGTTACTGATAGATAAATTACCTTTCTAATAGTGAAAGAATTTTTAAAATCGGCCCAGTAGTTTTTGAGTTATTTTAATACATATAAAGATATAAATATACAAATCTTTCCTTTTTATAATATTAGTGCAGATTATCAAGTTATGTTATCACAAAGTTCCCACAAGCAAATACAATTCGGCTTTAGGTACTGAAGTAAATATTAAACATATTAATTACTGCCGAATAATTAATTTGTATTGGTTGTCCGCTCGTGAAATTACTTTTACACAATGAAGTATTAATTATAGCCGGATGAGCGTTATTATCAACATTGTACAAGAGTATGTCGACGTTGACAATCCGACTTAATTATCATATTGTTCGATAGTGAACGTTGCCGATGCGAGGTTCGTGGGCGTTGTAAATTTAAATTATAAGGTGACAGCTGAACCGCAAGGCAAGGCGCGAAGTGGCGGCTGGGGCGACAGGGGCGCGAATTCATCCAAGGCAAGCCGCTGCGGCGACAGTTAGTTAGTTAGTAGTGCCATTAGAGGCAGCTCGCGGCATCCGCCCCTTATATTACAGCTCCGCTTCCCATTAGTGTTCCTCGCTGTCAAAACGACTTAATTACTTTAAGAGAAATTCACGGTTATGATTGCATTTACAACATCAGTTTATTACAACTGTTATCACTCAATTAAACTGTTATATTTTAGGTAGTCTCTATTCAATCGATAAATGGTTAAATTACCCTTATGAGTGTGGAAGGGTACATCGGTAGAGGTAGACCTAGAAAGAGATGGATGGATTGTGTAAAAGGTGACATGATCAAAAAGGGAGTGATGACTGAGACGACGTATGATAGAGTTATGTGGAGGACAAAAACCTGTTGCGCCGACCCTACGGGAGTAGGATAAGGAGATGATGAAATGGTTAGATTTACTTTACTACGGCTTGTATATAGATCCAGTAAAAAGTCCAGATTAATTACTAGCCTTTAGCTCGTGAATTACTATACTAATTGGATAAATAAGCGTATGCGAGAAATATACATCGTGTTGTTGTTTAAAGGAAGAGTTTAGATTAATTTTTGGTCGCTAAGTCATTCAAAAGGAATGGTAGACGTAACCAACGTATTGATGTCGATGCTAGGAATTTACACTATGTTATTTTTTATTTAATTAATATATCTAACTGGACTGGCAGATTTGTTAATAATGATACTATTTTTTTCAGATACGTTACTTATCTCAATATGAAGGGTAGATGATAGAAAATGTGTACAAATGCGTGTTTGTATTGCGTTAGTGCAGTAGTCGTTTGTGTCGCTAAGTCATTGTGGTGGAGCCAGTGACCTAGAATGTTTGAAAAAAAATCTCTTTGACTACAAAGCTTTTATTGTTACTTTCGTTTGGTTCCAACCTATAACATATACATACAGTGCGTTTTATCTTTATTTATATGTATATATATTCATTTTGTAGGCCTTATTTAATACGTTATTTAACAAATAATTGTGTTCATTATTTACTCTACATGTTGCTTACTAAAAGCTTCTAATTTATCTTATCTTTCTTCGTAATTCAATTTAATATTTGGAAGCTTTTACCGACAAGTAATGAGTTGTAATGGATTTTTTGTGACTACCATTTGTGCCTTGGTAATGGAGTCACCCCATACTACGCGGCCTAGTGAAGATAATAAATTGTACTTGTAAATGCGTTATATGTGTGATTATATTCATTTTTGACCGACTTCCCAAAAGAAGGAGGTACTCAATTCGTCTGTATGTTTTTTTTTTTTTTTTATGTGTGTTA